TGTGATGTACATGCTCTGTGGTTTGAAAGGTGATTGCGGTCAAATCTTGAAGTGTAAAAATCAGATGGAAATGCTTCTAAGTATTGCAAGTGTATCGAAACACAGAAAGTACCAGATGGGTTTTTGTTTTCACACCTGTATAACTGACTTTTGTTTTTCTTTTCTTTTCTTTTTTCCTTGATTCAGAAGTTCAGTCAGAGCATCCTCAGTGTATTCCTCACCTCACATGAACTAAAATCATGTGATGCAACACCAACTGTCTCTGGACTTATGGTCCACCAGTATGGAGCCAGCACCGCTGAGTGCCGATCAGAGGCCGGACGGGGGGGATTGTTTGTATAAATTCAGTTTTTTTTTACTTTGTTTATCTTGTGAATGGTCATTTGTGCCAATTCTGTTCAGCTTTCTGCACTTACAACATCTTTTGTTTATTCCATCACTGGATGTCCAGGAGATAGAAGGGAGGGGGTCTTTATATGGGGTGCAGGGGTTATATATAAAAAGCGCACTCTCTGATTGATTGTGGATGTGTTTGGACCTGAAGAAAGTTAGAGAGCAATGATGCATATAGTCAAGCTGCTCTGTGTGGTTTTCTCGTGCCTCTGTGCTGTCGCCTGGGCTTCGTCTCCTCGCCAGCCATGTCGTAAGAGCCTTTTTTGTCTTTGCGGTTTCTGTAATACTACTGATTTTAACATAACTCTAATATTTTTTGAATCTGAACACTCTCCGAAGCTGTAGCTGATGTGAAGACATTTTACTTTTAATATTTCTTTTACAGATTCACCACCACTGACCAGTGGAACAATGAAAGTGGTGAGTGTGCAAAATTTCAAAGAGATGTTTAATATTTATAGCATGCAGGTAGTGTACAATTTGGCTCTGTAATGAGATAACCTTTAAAAATGCTGTCATACAATTACATGCATGAGCCCTCATTGTTTCACCATTTATGAAACACTATAATTCAGTGATAAGTCTTTTTAAGTAATACAGACACTAATTTTAAGGCATCTACAGTGATCATATTCCCTTTAAAATGCCTGTGTGATAAAATATTTGCTTAACATAAGGCAGTGTGGAAAAAGGACTTAAAATTGCATTACCAAAAACCTATTGTAAACTTCAGAACTTTTAAAAGCTAAATAAATAGTATTTTTATTGAACATTTATACTGTTCTCTTTTGTTTCACATGCAAAATGCACATTCAGGTTTCAACAGGGGGTCATGACCTTGCATCTGGAGAGTTCAGTTATGACTCCAAAGCGAATAAATTTCGTTTTGTGGAGGACACTGCTCACGTGAACAAAACTTCTTATATGGATGTGCTCATACACTTTGAAGAGGTAGGCTTAATCAGCAATTCTGACGCTCTCTATTCCTCTTCCAGCTTGTGATTCACAAGTTTTTATTTTTGTAGCTTTTTCAGCAATATATATTTAAGCACTTTATTTCCACACAGGGTGTACTTTATGAGATAGACAGTAAAAACGAGAGTTGCAAGAAGGAGACTCTGCAGTTCCGTAAGCACCTGATGGAGATTCCACCTGATGCCACTCACGAGTCTGAGATTTATATGGGCAGCCCCTACATCACAGAGCAGGGACTCAGAGTTCGCATGTGGAATGGAAATCTGCCTGAACTTCATGGTCAATACCCTTTTTTTTTTTTTTACTTTTTGGTTATTTTATTGTTTTTAATGATCATGCTTTTTAATATTTTTTGGTGGGTTCCAATTTCTTTTTCAGCTCACTACTCTATGTCAACCGCTTCCTGTGGCTGCTTGCCAGTCTCTGGCTCCTACTATGGTGAGAAGAAGGACCTTCTCTTCAGGTACAGCAGAGATTAAATTCACGTTTCTCCCAAAATGTTTTTGAAGATATCTACATGTTATTGTATCCTGCAGTTTTACATATCAGTCATTTTCTGCTTCAGTTTCTTCGGTGTTGAAACAGAAGTTGATGACCTGCAAGTCTTTGTGCCCCCGGCCTATTGTGAGGGAGTGACATTTGAGGAGGCACCAGACGACCACAGCTTCTTCGACCTGTTCCACGACTGAAAAAACATGATATACAAAGTGCCAAAGATGGCTACATACAATAATAAAAAGAGCATTTAAATAAAAAATATGTCCTGTATCCATCTTTCTTGCTTCAGAAAATGTTAGCAGTTTCTTTTTTGCCATCTTTTTCTTGCTATCTGTCTTTTGCAACGTGTTTCTTCACTGAAGTCAATAAAGCTGAGCTTTCACTGAAATCCATTTTGGATGTCTGTTTGAAAAACAAGATAATCACAAATCAGTGTGGACAACAGAGGTGTTAAATTAGTATGTTTTTTTTCGTATTCGAAATCCTACAAATTCGTCACGCACAGAAACCTTGCACACCGAGTCCGATGCGTATTAATCGATCTGTTGCGAAAAAATTCGCAAACCAGCACTAAATGGAGTCTTCAAGTAGTGAGGATGATTTTGTTGTCCTCTCGCTTCTTAAAAAGAGAAAAAGAAAGGAAATATTGGGTCCATCTAATCCTGAGATAGAGTCGACGGAGTCATATAGTCAGGAGCAGCGGGATTATCGCGGGCGATTCAAAGTTTACTTCAGGATGTCAGTTTGATGCTTTTGCTAGCGATACTAGAGCCACATATTAAAAAGAAGACCACCAATTTCTGTGAACTCAGTGTGCAAGGATCTATATACAGTGCTTTGTGCTGCGAGGCGAAGTGGATACATTTGACAATCGCCATTCTGGATTTTGGCGTTCGCTTGTACGGTGGCTCTGAACTGTCAAAACACCTCTCAAAATGCTTGCTACGGATGGGAAAACCGGAAAAAAATCGAACCCGATCCGATTTTTTTTTTTTATGATGGACGAATATTTCGGAGTCAGTATGTAAACGTGATTGACATAACGTGAGGTCGTATTTATTTTTTTAACGTGCGAAATTTTAGGACTCCGTGTGCAAAGATCATTGAATGTAAAGAAGGAAAAAGTAACAAAGTTCTTCCAGGAAGAGTTAACTAAATGAATCTATCAAAAAGAGTTTTATGTGCAATGTAGTGACAAAACTTTCATATATTCATATCATACACCCTTAACCACGTTATTGAACAGTTAGTTTACGCTACTAAAATGATCAACAAAACACAGGATCACTGAATAAATGCACAATGATGAATGGCAAATGGACTGCATTTCTTTACTTACTGTTTAGTGCTACAATAGCTTTTGTTCACGTGTTTGTTTCAATAAGAAATAGTGATGATCCCGAAAACTGTGCAGAAGCAATGTTCATGGGATGGCAGGGTCAATTTCACAGACAGAAAGAGAGTTGTGGGAAGCCACACCACACCACGGTCTTGTGAAAGCTGCATGGAGAGAGTCTTCGTGTGACGCATCTTCATCTTCTTCTTCTTCTTCTTCTTCTTCTTTTTCTTCTTCTTTGGTGTTTTATTGGCGGTTGGCAAACCCGTGTGACGTATCTTCACTGTCTGAGGTTTACCTAACCTTTGTCTCTCAGCAAAGTCAGGGAAATTTCCCAATTTCACTGGTTACAGATACAGATAATTCATTCATAATGACTTGAATATTGCTTTTATTTCTTAATTTGAAACATTTCGTTTTAAATAAAAGCATAATCAAATAGACTTATTCCATGCAGTTTTTTTTTCTTCAAATAATAAGACCAATGAGGAATATCACGATTTAATCATTTCATATGGCTTTGCACTTTTGCCCATTTACATGAAGTGGCAAAAAATGATGCTTGCATAACAAATGAAAGAGTAGTTCCGTGCATTTAGCCTTCTCTTCCCCCAAATAAATAGGCCTTCATGTACACATTTACATAAATTAATACAAAATTACAGTAGTAAGTGTATGGGCCTAATCAAAACGTATGATTATTATTAGGCTATTTTTTATTATTTTAGTTTACTACTAGCCTAACTGCATTTCTTTACTTACTGTTTAGTGCTACAATAGCTTTTGTTCACGTGTTTGTTTCAATAAGAAATAGTGATGATCCCGAAAATTGTGCAGAAGCAATGTTCATGGGATGGCAGGGTCAATTTCACAGACAGAAAGAGAGTTGTGGGAAGCCACACCACACCACGGTCTTGTGAAAGCTGCATGGAGAGAGTCTTCGTGTGACGCATCTTCATCTTCATCTTCTTCTTCTTCTTCTTCTTCTTCTTCTTCTTCTTCTTCTTCTTCTTCTTCTTCTTTTTCTTCTTCTTTGGTGTTTTATTGGCGGTTGGCAAACCCGTGTGACGTATCTTCACTGTCTGAGGTTTACCTAACCTTTGTCTCTCAGCAAAGTCAGGGAAATTTCCCAATTTCACTGGTTACAGATACAGATAATTCATTCATAATGACTTGAATATTGCTTTTATTTCTTAATTTGAAACATTTCGTTTTAAATAAAAGCATAATCAAATAGACTTATTCCATGCAGTTTTTTTTTCTTCAAATAATAAGACCAATGAGGAATATCACGATTTAATCATTTCATATGGCTTTGCACTTTTGCCCATTTACATGAAGTGGCAAAAAATGATGCTTGCATAACAAATGAAAGAGTAGTTCCGTGCATTTAGCCTTCTCTTCCCCCAAATAAATAGGCCTTCATGTACACATTTACATAAATTAATACAAAATTACAGTAGTAAGTGTATGGGCCTAATCAAAACGTATGATTATTATTAGGCTATTTTTTATTATTTTAGTTTACTACTAGCCTAGAAGTTATCCCTCTTACTTTATTGCTGTCTTTATTTAATAACAGATTTGTTTGTCATAGGTCTGTTTTCTTTGTCTCATAAAATCATACTTGTATCACACTTCACACTTGATTTTAAAATGCTTTTATTTGGACAACTGAATCAATCTGAATAAGGTTTCTACAGTTCCCTCTGGTGTTGTTGTTATTGGTTGGTGAATCATGCACGAAACCCTGCCCACCGGAACTAGCGGTGCACTTGACACGTACTGTACATTTCATCTCAACAATGGCAATAGCACGCGTTGCTACCGAATATGTGTTTTCTGATTTTTTATTGAAAGATCAGAGTGACTCTAAGTATAAAGGCGTGCGCCTGGAACTGGCAACAGACAAACTGGTCACTTTTATCGCGGTTGGGCTTCCTTTGTTACTCATCTCACTCGCCTTTGCACAAGAAGTCTCTGTGGGTCAGTAAAAATATTTTTTTAATATATAACTGTGGGGGGTGGGGGGGGGATTACAGTCAACAGTAGTGTTTAATTTGAAACATCTGATAGAGACGAAGAGGCTTAAACCTGTGGGGATAATAGGTTCAAACAGATAATCATGAGGCGCATATCTCTCGGTTGTCTTGCTGATTGGAACAAAAAGGCTGCCAATTGTTGAAAGACACTCGCTAAATCGACATTTACTCCATTGTTCTTCATTAATGTTTTGTAATATTTCGTTGCAGGGCATGTTTATACACAACTTTCTTGCGAACTTACGAGCTGTTAACATCGTATTTTGCAGGATAAATGCACTTTAAATATATATATTTTTGAAGTTTAAATAATTATTGCGACCAGTCTTTTGCCACGCTCATTGTGACCATTATAGCTATCTTTGGTTTGTTGTTATTTCTGTTTCGGTATAAGGAGTCGGAGGCAGAAATGACACACTTCTTCAATCACAACTAAACCAGAGTGTTATGCTTAGCAAAGATCTGTCTTCCTAAGACAAAAGCATAATCCCAACAAACACAGAACGTTCTCCTAACGTTCCCATATGGTTTCCAGTTGGTTATTTTTTTGGGAACCAAATAAGAACGTTCTGTGAACCAAAAACTAACGTTCCCATATTGTTCTGTGAACCAAAAATTGTTAGCTGGGATGTTCTTTTCTACTATCTTTGATGCTATTGAATTCAGAATATCTTTTATCTGTAGGTTGTTGGTTAAAAGTTGCAACGTTATTCATACAAGATGGTTGTCATCATGGTTGGGCTCTATTGTTATACTAGTTTTTAATAAAAATTGCAATAAATACTGACTATTAATTTATAATAATATTATTACTTTTATTATAATATTAATATCAGTAACACTCCGAGTTGTTAAAGTTTACTCAAAAATATATATTGTCATTTACTCACTCTCGTGTCATTCCAAAACTGACTTTAATTTACCTGCAGAATGTAAGAGAAGATATATTGAGAAATGTCTCAGTGTTTTCCCCCTCCATACAGTGGAACTCAGTGGGCTCCAATATTGTTTGGTTACCAATATTCTACAATATATCTTCTTTTGTGCTACTTTTGGCAATACTTCACAGACATTTAGGTAGGCTACATTAGTAGTCTGTCAATTATGAAGGAAGCAATTGTCCTTGGTCTTCCCACTTGTTCCTCTAGTTTTATGATGATGAATTTAAGATGAGTGTTTGAAAGACATTTATAAATAGACCTAATTATCACAAAGCACACCATCATAATACACAGGAATATCTTTTGCTCATAAAAACATGCAAAAAGCACCTTGTATTTCTGTGTTAAGTAGCATAGTTGAGCATTTTTTGGATGAGATTAATCTAATTTCCATCACATAGTTCTTGTTATGACTTAAAGGCACTATCAGGCGGATCTAGAAAATAATTTTTAGGGTGGCAAAGGGGTGGCATGGGGTCTATGAGGGGTGGCAACACCAAAGCAAGCCCCCATGCATAGTTTTTGGGGATTTATGGTCTGACATACACAGTTGTGTTCACAAATATTTTATTATCATTAAGTAATCATCTATACTGTTTAAAATTAAAACTAAATAACATTTCAATATCCATCATGGCACCAAGTCAATACACAATATTAAAAACTTCAACAGGTTATAAATGTTTCTGAGCTTGTATCACTAAAGAAGACATGCGGTTCTATTAAAATTACATAGGCTACTTAGATGGTATAATCACGTTTAGTGCAAGTTTAAAAGCAACAAAAACTTTTGAATTTCCTAACATTAGAAAGAAATACAATAATATCAAAGCACTGAAACTGGATCAGTTTTGAAAACAATGTTTGATTTTCTGTTATTAACAGAGGTGGGAATGTGTATAATCACCCAGAACAAACTCTATCAACATATACTCTAGCAACACCCCAGCAACTGCATAGCAAGAGCCTAGCAACCACCCAGAATATTCTAGCAACCAACTAGCAACACTTCAGCAAACATCTAGAACATTTAACTGACCGAACCATTTATGATTTTAAGACAAGCCAGCAAAAGTCTTTCAAACTTTTCAATCTAGTTAGTTTTTCTTACAGGTTTTTTTCAACTGCTTACATTTTTCAAAACTTTGCCTCTTTTTTTCAAAACTTTACGCACAAATCCAAGAATTGCATACACAAAATGCAAAATGCCTCACATCTCTTGCAAAATGAAGCACTGCATTCAAAATATCACAAACACATCTCAAAAGCAAACTTTTGCAAACACCTTTGCCATAATATTAATTCCTGTTAGATTTATGTGTGTTACATATAGAGAATTGTGTGTTGTGTTTTGCAAAAAGTGTTTTATGAAATTGAGTCAAAGGCTGAGAATTAGTGTATGGTTTTGCAGATTTGGTGTGTGATTCTGGTGTTTGAGTGTCAGCTTTCAGAAATTGTGTGACAAGTAAAGATTTTGCATGTAACTAGTTGAAAAATCAATAACACTGTAACAAAAAAACTTACTAGAATTCAGGAATTATTTTTGCTGCTCAATGTCTATTACAGTATACATAAATTAAATTACAGATAAAGATGTATAATTGAGCAATTAACTTTTGGGAATTTTTATTTTTTTTTCATTTTACTACTGTAAGGTATTCGTCCAGTAGATGAAAAGCACTAGAAAAATTAAAATACCAAAGAATTGTATGAACTTGGAATGCACCACAATACAATACAGTAAAAAATACAATTAAAAAAGTAAATTTAGCATCCTCTGCACTTTTGCCCAAATTTCATTACAGTATACAGTACTATAGCACTTTCTTGGTCTCATGACACAAGACTATATCTCAAGGCAGGCATTTCTCAGTTCTGCAAAAATGCAGTAGCCTACACAAAAAACGGTTACAAATAAAATTGGTCTATTTGACCGCGCGTGCTTGAAGGTGTACATCAGTTCTACATGTGCTACAGTTTACTGTACATACTGAATAGTTAAATTTCCATTATCTAATGTACTGGTACTGTACTGTAATTATACTGTATGTGTAAGTATAAAACCCCTGTAGATGATTGGATCAGCTCTCTCCTCTCTCCGTTGTTAGAATGCAGAGATTCTGATTGGTATGTCACCAGTTTTGCTATCTAATGTTTAACTTACCCATCTAACTGCAATACGACTTGATTCTTACCTAACTCCGCTATTAGTTTCCGTGATCGGCATCTTCTTATTGATTTCATGTTATTGTTACAGCTTATATCCATGATGAAAGTGGAGCGAGTGGTTGGAGAATCGGATCACCAAACAGTTAAGAGATAAAGCTCAGACATATCCAGATGGGATTAGATTTCTCAGAGGACTTCTGAGTTACCTGAAAAGCAGTAATTATCTGATTCACGAACAAATGTAAAAACAATTAGTTAGTGAACTGGGCCATGCTTTGTGGTTTTGACTCAAAAAGATCCGGTTTAGAAGAGTAATTTGTTAATGAAGCCGTCTACTATTGGACTACACTGGCATGCTGCGTGCGCGTGTAACCACCAGTTTATTAAAATAAGTGTTTTTGCCATTATTTTGTGTTACTCTGTCATCGCCACAGCTGAAAAGTAGCACATGAAACGCTGCTTACATTTATATTTTATTCTGTGATAATTCTGGGGTGGCACAGCTTTTTCTTAGGGTGGCAGTTGCCACCCCGTGCCACCCCCGGTATACAGTCTACCACTTCCGCTCCTTCCGGTCGTGCGTATGTGGGGGGAAAAGCAGCGCTGTTTTATCATACTAGATACATTTGAAAGTTCTGTTATTATGCTACTCTGTGCAGTCATCACCAGTCTATTAAAACGCACAACATATTAAAGCGTCTTTGGTGTTTCCGTGTTTTCTACTAAACAAAACAAAAAGTTGAGGGGTTATGACGTCATTAGCAGGCGACACAATGACACTATGGACACGGTCCGTGTCACTAGATAAAATTGCTTTTTTCTCAGGATTTAAACATTCTTCGAAACATTTGGGATAATGTAAGTACACAAGTCAGAAAAATATATAACACTGTTCTAGTGGTTTTTGGATATTTTAATTAAAAAATCTTACATATTGTGCCTTTTAGCTATAAGAAAATGACAAGTTCTTGTGTAATTTCCTCTCTCTTAGGCACTCAGATCACATGTTTTCCACCCACTAACTTCACATTGAGACAGGCTGCATATGTGGACTCCTTCTGCTGGGCTGCATTAGAGCATCACCCTACAGAACATGGGCTTGATAGCGCCCCCCTTCATCTACACAAGGTAATGATGAACAACAATGACATATCCAAAGAGGTTCTTTGTTGCTTTGTTTTTGTCTTATTCTCTGTCTTTTTACCTGCAGTTCTTTCCTTATATCCTTCTGCTGGTTGCCACCCTCATGTATATTCCTGCTCTCTTCTGGCGCTTCACGGCTGCCCCTTCCCTATCCTCTGACCTCAGTTTTATCATGGAGGAACTTGACCGTTGCTACAACCGTGCCATCCGCCTCGCCAAAAGCCTCACAACCAAACAAGACAAAGACATTGCAGAAGACCCACACAGGTGTAGTGAACTGAACATTTTCGAAAATCTAGCTGCGATTGCAACCTGAAGTTTTGACTTGTAAGAAATACAATGTTTGATACACTGTACGAAAAACAAAGGCTTGAATTCATTCAGAATATTTAAACACTCCAAAAAGTCAGTTTGCTTCAGTTAAATCTTTAAAAAAAAAGAGTTTTAAAAATAAGTTTTGTATGTTCACTAAGGATGCATTCATTTGATCAAAAATAAAGTAAAAACAGTAATATTAAACATTACAAATGTAATGGAAATAATGTTTTTTACAGTATTTTTTAAATGTAATTTATTCCTGTAATGGCAAAACTGAATTTTCAGCAGCTGTTACTCCAGTCTTCAGTGTCACATGATCCTTCATAAATCATTCTAATATGCTGATTTGGTACTCAAGAAACATTTCTTATTATTATCAACAGTGGATCTTTTATGTGTGGAAAGTTCAAAAGAACTGCATTTATTTATACATTTTATTAACTTGTCTATACTGTCACTTTTAATCAGTTGAATGCATCCATGCTGAATAAAAGTATTAATTTTCAAATCAAAAGAAAAATTCAAATAATTTTCCTGTATGAATGCTTGTGAACAATGGACTTCTTTGCTATTTAAGCTTCCTTTTTATTTCCTTTCCTTCCTCACTCATAACCCAAATATTTAAATATCCTTAATATTCTGATTCTGCTGATCTTAACCTTAATCTTAAACCTCTCTATTCTCTCTCTCTCTCTCTGTCAGTGGTCTTGAAATGACTGAAGCTTGTTTTAAGTACCCTCTTGTAGAGCAGTACTTAAAGACAAAGCGTTCATCTTGGGCTTTGGCTGCAAAATATCTGCTTTGTCGGGTTTTAACATTCCTCACTTTACTGCTGGCCTGCTTTTATCTGACCTACTACATCTTTTGGGTGTCACCCAGTGATCAGTTCTCCTGTAACCTGCGCAGAGGTGTGTGCTAAATAATGTGTTTCTGTATATTAACATGTGAGAGTGTGTCTAATCATTTTCGGATGTTTTTTTTCTGAATTTGTGTTTGTCTGCAGGTATATTAGTAAATGAGAGTGTGGTGCCAGATGCAGTTCAGTGTAAGCTGGTGGCGGTGGGTGTTTTCCGCCTGCTAAGTTCCATGAATCTGGTGGTGTATTTACTGGTAGTACCGGCTGTGGTTTACACTGCCTTCCAACCTGCTCGTCAGCACCAGCGCGCTCAGTTCCTCCGTCCATACCACCTACTGCCTGCTTTCGGTCACGTGCTGGATTTGCAGCCTACCACTCGCCATTATGATGACCTCAGCATCTACCTGCTGTTCTTGGAGGAAAACCTGAGTGAGCTTAAGAGCTACAAATGTTTGCAGGTTTGTAAATATGTGCATTTCAACGTTTGAATTTTATGCATCTGATTTATCTTTTTTGTCAGGGTTTTTAAGTTCTTTATACATTGTTATATCTGGTAAAAATGCACTAATATCTCATTCCCAGAACTGAATGCTGGTGTCAGTGAGTGAAGACTAATACATTTGTTTGTGATGTGTGTACACAGGTGTTGGAGCTGCTGTCAGAGGGAGGGGAAGCAGCATTTGACACCATGTGTCTCCTCAGGACTCTAGGACAAGTGAGGACTGACATGGTGGACAGAAAACAAGCCCAAACTGTAAATGGAAATGCAGAGAAAGAAATCTCTGAAATGAAGGGTAAGTATAACATCAGTAAAGTGAAAACAAGACACACAATAATTACTTGCATTTCCTTCACAATCAATTGGCTTTTTTTGTATAATTTACCGCTGATATTATGTTGACGTATTAAAACTAAAGAATAAATCTATAATCCAATGAAATACAGCTTTGAGATCAAATGGCATTCATGTTTCTTATATGTGAAGAGAGTGAACACACTTATAAATGTTATTTTTGTCGGGAGGTGAAAAAAAAAGAAAAAGGAAAGCACACAGGTAAAACATCTGTCTTGTTGCGCCAACTGTTGCTATATCCATGTGTTTTATCTCTAGATGCCTCTTCTGTTCTGCTGGATGATGGAGTACAGACAGAAAAAAGCTGCGGCTGTGTGAAAGATGTAAGACACAGGGTGGTGTAACATATAACAAAGTCAAATCAAATGACAAACAATGAGTTTACATGTATTTTAAATATGAAGGAAATGTACGATTATATAATGCTTGAATATAACTGATTATTTACTAATTTACTAACTGCAGAACTGAGCTGCATGAGCTTTTAATGCCTTATATTAATAGAAATGGGATGAATGTTTTTTATAACTTGATAAAGTTATTATTTGTGAGGTTGATGAATGTTAAGACCCTATTGTATGCATTATGAAAACAATGTTACAACATATATTCTGGGGTGTCCTTTGTAGGTACAGTATTGATGCAACAATGAGAGAGAGAAAGAAACTAAATGAATAATTAAGATGCTAATGTTCTTAGCATGTTATGCTAATGTAACTTCTGCCAATGTTGCTTCTTGGTAACAAACCATTTAAATAATTCCTCCTAACATACAAATAAATTTTAAAATGGCTGCAAGAGTATAATGTGACCAAGAAATCATCAAAGTCTTCTCTTCATTATAAACCATCCAATGCTAATTTTATATGCATCATGTACTTGCAAAATTGTGGCGCAGAAAATAGGGTTGTTTCCCTGAGGCAACATCATAAAACATAGTTCAGATTGAAAGGATGTATTCATGTAATATCTAAATGATTGGAAATAATTTTATGATGCATGCCAACCCACGATTTGGCTGGGTAAGACTTAACCATTTCTAGAGGTACTAATGCACTGCCTATGAAAAAAGCAGTAATCAAACATACAAAATATAATGTATGATATGTATAATACTATGTATATGTATAATACTGTTTTTTTTTTAATTTTTTTTTTTATAGTTTTGTATTTATTTGATGCAGACTTGTGTCAGAGATGTGTTTAAATGATTCTGTCTTGTTCTAATTGTATTTTTTTTTGTTTTATGTCTTCTTACCTTAATTTCTTCAGAGATGTTAAATTGCATGTCTTCAAAGGTGAGCTCTTTAAAAATGGTGCTTGTAACCCTAAAAAGTGACCTTTAATGGACTTCATTCAGGGATGTAGAATACAGGCTTGTAATGTAATTTAAAGCACTCCATTTCTTCCATACATCTGTATTTTTCTCTGTTATCATGGATGGCACATTCAGTACATAATAAACTTAAAAATAGCCAAAAGTCATGAAATTCAGCACTAATGTTTGTTCAGCAGCTTCACATTCTCATTTGCTGCTAAATATTAAATATTGTTTTATGGCTAAGCTCCTGAAAATCAATAATGAGGTGGCTTTGACAGTTGGAAAAACAAATAAGTGGGAATAAGGACCAGAAACAAAGAATCATTTAAGCACAAAGGCTTCTTCAGGCTGATATGGTTCTAAATAGAACTGTTGCTACATGTAAAGAACCATTCAAGTTTTTTTTTAAATTGTAGAATAGTGTAGTTGTCATTGCTTGAAAACGTCACATAGAGGATGCCACAAACATTAGCCTACTACTGTCTAACGAGACATCTAATCCCATTTTCTCGAGAATGAGACAGTCTGCTGTTTCACTCGCAGTCTTTTCAAAGAAACACCTTCTAGCAGATCCACGATCAGGTCGTTCTGTGTGAACGTCTACTCTCAACAATTATTAACAATTAACCAAAACCCACTTGAGATCGTCAGCACAGGCTGCTAGACCTGCGTGAGCACCAGAATGTGTTTGTCTTTCGTGAGCGTAGTAGCGCTCAGGAGCTAATGTGAATTAGTTGGGCAAACACAGCTAATGTGGCATGTGTAATTGGACAGTCACTTAAAAGTGTTAAAGTGTGTTTGCGCTCAAGATTCGTTTTCCGCTGATTCAGGCAAAGACTGTAGAACCTGTATAAAAGTGAGAAGCACACACTGTTCGTCCCAAACCTTCTCTCGTCTACCATCTCTGCCATACCTTGTCCTCTGCTTCAAGAACAGGTATGTGACCGGCAGGATGCTAAATCAACAGATAGTGCTATTGTAACTGGTGCTGCATGTAAATATGCAGGGGCGTAGCCATCATTGCAGAAGTGAGGGGGACAGAAATGTTATATATATAACATACAGTGTTGGGGAAAGTTACTTTTAAAAGTAATGCATTACAGTATTGAGTTACTCCCCCCAAAAAGTAACTAATTGCGTTACTTAGATACTTTTTATGGAAAGTAATGCGTTATATTACTTTTGCGTTACTTTTTTCTTTCAGGCCTGGCAAGTGTTTTGTTTTTTTGACTGAGAAGTTCTGCATTCAACAACAGCCTTTATAACCTTCACCTTCTTTTTCTTTAAAAAACACATATATAGAATAATAATATAGAATTATATTCTGAGAACTTTCTGACCCCAGAGCTATGCA